ACTAGGTAGGTGCACTAGTATTATTATCCTCATTCAGTTAATAATCAGGTCATTATTATTGTTATTTTATTGCTGGAGGGCATGTGAGCTTGCCAGAGAGAGACAGAGGGAATGACCCAAAGGGATGTAGAAAGCACCCTCCATGGGGAAGCTGCCACAATCCCTTCTTCTCTGTCTCCCTCTTTTTGAGATTTTGGGCATGCATTCACACGTGCCCAGCACGTCTTTTCTTTTCTTTTTAAAGAATTATTTTATTTAACTTTATTTATTTTTAATTTGATCAGAGAGGAACAGAATGAGAGAAAGAGAGAGAGAGGGAGAGAGAGGAAGCAAGCCAGGTCTGGGACTCCATGTGGGAGTCCGGCACCCTTAACCACCATGCCACTTGCTGCCCCCCCCCCCGCCCCCAGCATGTCTTTTAAACCGCTGGGGCGAGGACTTGAACTGTGTGGTTGGCCATCTGGGATCCAGTCGCTTCCACCACCATGCCACTGGCTGGCCTGAGTGAGGCTTTCTGATGTAAGCGCTATTACACTTGTTCTTCCCCCCACAGCAAGACATGCCATGGAGGGATGGAGCTGGAGGGCTGACTCACTGAGCGTGGTACTGCTTTTAGAGACATATGAATAAACAGTTGTGACAGAACAGAAAGAAACAAAGCCGTAGGGGCCAGCAAGTGGCATGGTGGTTAAGTGGCTGAATTCTACATGGCTGCCCATGATTGAGTCTCAGACCTGGGTGGCTTGAAAAACACACTGGGCACGTGTGCATGCATGTCCAAAATCCTGAGAGGATAATAGAGGAGAAGGGATTGTGGTGTGGCTGTACTCCCTGGGGGCTAATTTCTCACTATCCCCCCCCCCTCTGTCTCTCTGGCGAGCCCATTGCCTCTATAGCAAAAAAAAACCCTAAAAACAAAAACAACAGAAAAGCTGCAGAAGGCAACAATTTTTGAGAAAAGCTACAAATAAAGAGGGTGAATGAGCATATCAGACAGGTTATATATACTTATGCAAAGGCTTAGAGTTTTTAAAATTAAATTACATTAAATTTATTTATTATTATTCTTCAATTTGACCAGCGAGACAGACAGACAGACACACACACACACACACACAGAGAGAGAGAGAGAGAGAGAGAGAGAGAGAGAGAGAGAGAGAGGGAGGACGAGTAAGAGAGCAAGCCACCAGGTCCAGGACTTGAACCACAGTCAGCCATGTGGGAGTCCAACACCTTAACCACTACGTCACCTGCTGGCCACATGGCTTGGAGTTCTAAGGAATAAGAAGACGCTCAGTGACAGGTGTAATGAAGTGAAATTATATCAAAATCATAGTTGTGAATGTTTATTTTTTCCCTATTTTTAAAAAATGATTTTTTTTATTCATTTGTTTATTTTAACTTAAGCAGAGAGAGACAGAGACAGAGAGGGGGAAAGTGAGAAAGCAAGCCACCAGGTCCAGGACTCGAACTATGGCCAGCCATGTGGGAGTGTTCAGCACCTCAACCAGCATGCCACCTGCTGGCCCCCTATTTTTTTAAAGAGGTTTTTGTCTTAGGCCATTGCACTCACTGGAGAGAGAGAAAGGCAGAGACAGTGAGAAGGAAAGTGAGAAATTACCCTCCCTGGAAGGATGGCCACACTGCAATCCCTTCTCCTCCATTCTCCCAGAATCCTGGACACACACACACATGTGTCTGGCAAGATTTTTAAGCCACCAGCTTCGAGACTTGAACCGTGGTCAGCCATGTGAAAGTCTAGTGACATAACTGCTACTCCATCTGCTGGCCTGCTAATGTTTATTATTATGTGCTAGCAATTACTTTAAGTGGTTTATATACCTATATTCAATTAATCCTATAAACAACCCTATAAAATAAGTAGTATTACCATTAAGTTCATTTTACAGATGAGGAGACTGAGGCACAAAGGAGTGAAGTCACTTTCCCAAGGTTGCACAATAATAAGTTGTAGAATCTACCTAGTCTGGCTTCAAAGTTCTGTGGAAGACCAGGTCCAATCAGCAGATTAAAAACCACACAGCAAATTAAGCATAGGAAGTTGAATTTAAAAAATTAGTAGTGGGAACCAGCAGTTAGCGTAATGGCTATGTCGCTGGACTCCCATGTAGTCGACCGCGGTTCACGTCCTGGACCTGGTGGCTTAAAACTCACGCCGGGCGCGTGTGCGTGCGTGCCCAAGATCCCGAGAGGAGAATGGAGGAGAAGGGATTGCCGCGTGACCATACCCCCTGAGAGGTGATTTCTCGCTTTCTGTCTCTATGTCTCTGTCTGTCTGGCGAGCGCACGCACCCTACAGTGAAAATCTCTCCAAAAAAAAAAAAAAAATTAGTAGTGAGGGGGCAATAGGTGGCATGGTGGTTAAGGTGCTGGGCTCCCACATGGCCAACCACTAGTAGAGTCCCAGACATGATAGCTTGAAAATCACACCAGGCACATGTGCATTTGTGCCTCAAATCCCAGGAGGAGAGTGGAGGAGAAGGGATTATGGCATGGCCATCCCCCTGGGGAGTGATTTCTCCCTTTACCTCTCACTGTCTCTGTCTCTCTCTCTGGCAAGGGCACGTGCCCTATGGCCCCCAAAAACAAACAAAAAACTTTAAAAAAAAGAATTACTGGGACCAGCAGTTGGCATAATGGGTATGTTGCTGGACTCCCATGTAGTCGACTGTGGTTCGAGTCCTGGATCCGATGGTTTAAACTCATGCCGGGCACGCGTGTGTGTGTGTGTGCCCAAGATCCCGAGAAGAGAATGGAGGAGAAGGGACTGCAGTGTGGCCCTCCCCCGGGAGTTGATTTCTCCCTTTCTGTCTCTCTGTCTCTGTCTTTCTGGCGAGCGCATGTGCCTTATAGCAAAAACCTCTCCAAGAAAAAAAAAAAAAGAAGAAAAAAGTACTAATTAGTAAAAGCACAACTATAAGATATGAGGACACTCTCCTGCTGGGGCTGCGAGAGAGCACCTAAGGAAGGACAGACTTGAGGTGGGCCCAGACCCCTTTGGAGAGGGCGTACGAGTTAGCTGATGGACAGCAGAGAATGCTGCTTTAGCTAGGTTGGGGCTGGTCTGGAGTTGACGAGCAAGCAAGAGGCTACTCTCCAAGGATGATGTGCAGGTGCCCTGGGAGTCTGAGTCTTAAGGCAGCAGGGGCAGAAGGCCTTCAGAGTGCAGGGCCAGCAGGGGGCTGGGGAGAGGAGAGGGCCAGGGAGAACAGGCCACTGCTTAGTGTGTGACCCTGTTGGCCTGACTGCTGCAGATCACCATGAGCATGCTGGAGGAGTATGGGCAGGCGGGTGCCTGCAGGCCTCCCAGAGCTCTGGTTTCTGTGTTGAGAGGCTGAAGAATGGTTATTGCCAGGCTAAAGCTGGAAGGGCACAGGGACTGCATTCTGGCCCTGTGGCTGGAGCAGATTCCGCAGACTGAACTCACGACCACACCCTTAACTCTGGTCTGGTCCCAGAAACTTCAGGAAGCCTCCTCCTCGCCTCCAACATTCTTGGCTGAGAAGGCTAACATGATGCTCACTTTAAAGAAGTGTTTAAGAGAATTCTCTTATTTAGCACAGAGCCTATATTGAATCGTGTGTTCAGAACAGAGCGGCAATACATTGATAGCTGACAGAAGAATTTAAACTCCAAGTTAAGATTTATGGTCTCTGGGACTCCTGAGACTGTATAATCTGACAGTGGGTGGCCTATAAACCACCCTGAGAATTTTCATTTTTATAACAGGAATTATCTTGATCAGCTATGTATGTTTATTGTAAACAGAAACAATTTAGAAGGCATATAAAGTGTAAAGTGAAAGTCCTCCAGACCATTCATTCACCAGAGATAAACATTCACCAGAGATAACAATCTGGTATCTCTTATTCCAGCCTGCCAGCAGGTGAACACATGTGTAATTATTAGGAAAAAAATCCCACGAGGACTCTTTTATTTTTAAATTTGCCATTAGGGCGCATCACCCCCGCCAGAGAAAGAGAGAGAGAGAGAGAGAGAGAGAGAGAGAGAGAACAAGAGAAAGTGATAAAACATCCCCCATGGGGATGATCACGTCACAATTCCTTCTCCATTTCTGCTTTTGTGATTTCGGGCACCACTCACAGCCCCTGTATTTTCCAAACTGCGGGGTCTGGGACTCGAACTGCATAGCCTGCCATGTAGGATCCAGCCGCCTTAACCACATGTTTTTCGCTGGCCCCCATGCAGCGAATTTTTTAAACTTATAACTTTTTTCAGCTAGATCAAGGAACCAATATATCATTCTGAGCCGATAGGTACAAGTCTCCCAATTTAAAAAATCATTGTACAATATGGTGAGATTTGGGGTGCTATTCCCGTCTAAAACTGTCCGGAGGCAGTCATATTTGGAATTGCCTTCCCTCCCTTCTCTGCAGGGCTGCCGCGCACTCCACGCTGAGTGCCCCAGCTTCGATTTCACATACACGCCTTCTCGGATTTCAGCGTCTCGTCTGGTTCCCCACAGCTGACAAACCCAGCTGCGGGTTGGCAAAGTCGCCTCTGGGAGACTCAGACCCAAGCGCCATTCCGGGCTGGCAGTTCACCAACTTCAAGACAAACCCTAACTCCTCTCCCAGGTTGCCTGCTGGCGAGTTCTCTTCTCCCCATGCTGATGGGGTCCCAACCACTGCCACCTCCCCTAGCACCCGGGCCTCGCCGGGGAGACCACGCCGCCAGACCTGCCCCGCCGGGGCTCCACCCATCCACCCTAGCTCCGCCTACTCGAAACACGTGGTTGTCTTCGACTTGGGACCGCCCACCAAAACTCTTGTATAATAGCCTGACTCACCCGGCCCCGGACCCGCCCCCTTGCTCTAGCTCCGCCTTCCCGGAACCTGTACGCCCCACTCTAACCCCGCCCACTCTCGTCCCTCCCACCACGCTGCCGGCCCCGCTTGCCGGGAAGTTGCTCCCCTCGCTCCGCCCAGGCCCCGCCCACCCTGCTCCTGGCTCCGCCGCCCGGAAGCTCCCCTGGCGGCCGTGGGTCCCTTCCACTCGGTCCCGGGCACCCGCGCCGCCTGCTGCACACGGCTCCTTCGTACTCCTGGTCCAGTCAGTCTGCCTCAGGACCCGGCCCTGGCGCTAGCCAACCTGCCATGGAGGGGGACGGCCCTGATGCCGCCGCCCGGTACCAGCCGGCCAGCCCTCCGCGGGACGCCTGCGTCTACAGCAGCTGCTACTGGTGAGGGGGCATCGCAGCTGGGCTCCGCCTCTTCCCGGCCCCCTCGGGGTGCGGCGGGCCTTGACTGGCTGCTGTTACTGTTTGGGGGACTGAAGGAGCAGGAATGGCAGCCTTGTCTCTTGAGTAGAGCGTGGGCAGTTGGATGAGACCGGCAATTCGTCCGATGCATTAAGCCTGCCTGGCGCTTCTCCGCTGAGCATGCTCAACACAGCTCAGTGTTGGGGGTCGAAGAAGGGGAGTTGGAGGTGCAGGGTGGCGCACAGAAAACCTTTGAAAGTTAGTCTCCCAAAGCCTTTGTGGTTTCAGACTGGGATGAAGGTCATTGTAATTTTGTTTTTTGTTTTTGGAGAGGTTTTTGCTATAGGGCACGTGCGCTCGCCAGACAGAGAGAGATAGAGAGACAGAAAGCGAGAAATCACCACCCAGGGGGGGTGGTCACGGCGTAACCCCTTCTCCTCCATTCTCCTCTCGGGATCTTGGGCACACATGCACACGCGCCCGGCGTGAGGTTTTTAAGTCTTCAGGTCCGGGACGCGAACCACAGTCGACTACGTGGGAGTCCAGCGACATAGCCATTACGCTAACTGCTGGTACCGAGGTCATTGTAATTTTGGAAGGGAGCGAAGGCGTGAGAGTTTGAGGGAGCATTCTTAAGGTCACCCAACAATACAGTTGCAGCCAGAAATCCAATCCAGGCCCTCTGGCACAAGCAACCGTGATCTTAACGGTGATGGTGCCATTTTTATAATGGTTATATTTATGCAGTTCTTGCTGTGTGCCAAGTATTGATGTGGGTGATGATTATGTAAATTAAATGAACTTAAACGGAGTCCCACAATAGCCCTAGGAGGTAGGTACTTGGTTATCCCTATTTTAAAGATGAGAACATGGAATCTTAGAGAATGCAAGTAATTTGCCTAAAGTCAGGTAGCTTGTGGGTTAAGGATGAAGATTTACAGGCAGCCTGCCCCTGGAGTCCAGACTTTTGCATCCTTGTCCCAGGCTGCTTCTACCCCTGAAAGACCAGGCCTCTCTTGATCCTTTTCACCCCCCATGCTTGCCCTTTCCTTTTCTGTTAATGACTTCTCCAGCTTCCAGTTCCTGCGTGAGAATCCTCAGGGCCACCTAGAACTACCTCTTCCCCCTGCAACTTAACTAGACCAGCAAGCTTAACATTTGTTCGCTCTGACAGCATGTCAGGCCCAGTGCCAAGTCCTTCCATTCAGATCTGGGAGATATTGTTATTATCCTCATTTTACTAAGAAGAAGACTGAGCCACAGAGAGACTTTTTGCCCAAATCCACACATCTAGCAAGTGGCATTGCTGAAACTGGAAACCCTGTGTGATTCCAGAGTCCACGCCAATTACCTACTGCACTGTGCTTCTGCCTTGCCTCTCCTAAATCCTGTTAGTTCTCATCTCTAAACCTCATTCACTGCTTTATGTATTCAATACATGCTTAAAAGGCACTTGGATCGTGTGATGCATGGTTAGGCACTGGGCATACAGCAGTGAACAAGATTGACAAATTCCCTGGTAAGATCTCATGGTTCTTACATTCTGATGAGGGGACAGCGGACAGAAACAAGTATATCCTGTTTGGATGGTATTAAGTGCTGTGATAAAAAAAAAATAGTAAGGGTTGGGGACTCATACTCTTTTGTGTTAAAGGCTAGATCACTGTTGCACAGAGAGCTCAAGTTATACTAGGATATTTAAGGAAGACATGATTGAGTGATATTTGAACAGAGATAAGAAAAAGAGGGTGAGAGCTCTGTGGATACTGCAGGAAGATCATCGAGGCAGGGAGAACAGCGCGTACAGAGGCTAAAAGAGGGAAATATGTCTTGAGTGTTCTAGAAACAGCAAAGAGGTTGGTACAGTTGGAACAGAGTGATCTGGTGGAAGAATGATAAGAGGTGAATATTTCAGTAGATCTCATTTTAGTTCCCTCACCTATAGGCCAGGTGTTTTAGTCCATTCTTTCTTTCTTTTTTTTTCTTGAGAGATTTTTTTTTTGCTATAGTGGATTTATGCTCAACAGAGAGACAGGGAGACAGAAAGTGAGAAGTCACCCCTGAGAACAGATGTCCATGCCGTAGTGGCTTCTTCTCCAGTCTCCTCTCGGGGATTTTGGGCATGCACACACATGCGACTGGCTGAGTTTTAAGCCACCGGGTCTGGGATTTGAACCATGGTCGACTACATAGGAGTCCAGCAATGTAACTATTATGCCATCCGCTGGTCCCCTAATCCATTCTTTTGATAACAGTAGAAAAACTGAGTCTTCGAGACTCAGAAAGAACAGAGGTTTATTTAGTTCATGATGGTGGAGGCTCATGGTCAAGGGCCACCTCTGGTGAATAACATGGTGTAGGAGACATCTCATGGCAAGAGCATGCATGGCTTATGTTGCTGTGCAATTAGGGGGGCCCCACCTTTCAACAAAACACTTGGATTAAGTCTCCACCTTCTCAACACCATTACGGTGGTTCAGATTCCAGCACATGAATTGTTTGGGACACATTCAAATCATAGTACAAAGTCCTCCTTACCTGGACTGTTCTGGTTGTTTCCAAACCAGCCTCTCTGCCCAGCTTAACCCCATCCAGTCAAGTCTTTAACCTAAGCTGGCTTCCCACTGCCCAAAGCAGTTCTAAATTTGAATGGGCTGGAGAATGACTTAGGAAGCTGTAAAAATGTTGTATGCAGATCTTAGCGTACCACCCATGTCTGGAGCACAGTGGAGGTGTCTGAGGCTGGTCTGTTGATTTCATTTGGAGGAATACAAGCATAGACAATAGAGATTGTCTCCTGACAGGGATAAGGTGTGATGCATGATTCCAGGCACTGGGGATACAGCCGTGTACAACACTGACAAATTCCCAGTTAAGATTTCATGGCTCTTTTTTTTTTTTTTTTAATAAGAATTATTTTATTTATTTATTTATTTACATGAGTTTTGCCAGAGAAAGATGGGGATGGAGGAAGAATATGAAAACAAGCCACCAGGTCCAGGACTCGAACCATGGTTGGCCATGTGGGAATTCTGGGGCCTTAACCACCACGCTACCTGCTGGCCCCATCATGGTTCTTATGTTTTGATGAAGGAAAAGCAGACAGTGCATTTCAGGCTGATTGGCCCAGGGTTTCAAACTGTCGTCACCACGTGGGATCTCACTTCTCTGGAGCAGTGTATTACCACTGCACCACAGAGTCAGACCTAATTTTCTTTTTTTCTTTGTGTAACATCACACATGTTTGAAAAATACATAATGCGTGTTCAAGTATTCCTCCTGCCAATAGTGTTTGTGGTACCTGTGGATTCATCTACTCTGTGTTAACTCAAAGCTCATCTTTAGGAAGGCGAGAGGGGGACAGATAAGGAGAAATAGTGATCTTTACCTCTTCTGTCTTCCATTCTATCTTCCATATAATAATGGACCTGATTTGTGCTTTTTTCTCCTTTTAGCTTTTTTGGTATAGGGCAAAAATAGCTTTTTTGGTATATACTCTCAACAGAGAGCAAGAGTGAGAGCGAGAGCGAGAGCGAGAGAGAGAGAGAAAGCACCCCTCGGTGGGGATGGCCATGCCGCAGTCCCTTCTCCATTCTCCTCAGGATTTTGGGTACGCACACACACGCACCTCTTGTGTTTTTCAAGCCACTGGTTCCAGACCTTGAACTGCACAGTTGGCCATGTACGATCTACCTGCCTCAACCACCAATGCCATGTGGCTGTCACCCTCTTTTGTGCTTTCTGTCTGCATCTTTTAAAGTCTGCAGCGATGCTTGCTACATATGAATCTGTATTTCTCCACTCATGGTCTTTAAGCTGTAATTTGCCATTGTATTTCCTAAGCACTTGGGGGTGGGGTCTTGAAGATGTCTGCGGTAAACCCGCCAAAATTTCTATAGGGCAGACAAACATCTTCTCAAAACTTGGCCTTAGAACATTGAGACTACAGTTTTTATCTACTATGTGCTGCGTGTTACAGTGAAAGGGTAAGTTTTTCTTACTCCACAGTGTATGTGATAGTGAGGTCATCAGTAGTCATCTCCCATTGTTACCACCACCACCACTTTTCCTTGCAATTTCTTAGCTATTTTAGAAGAAAACAAAACTGTCGGAGGGTCAGCTGGTGGTGTGGTGGTGAAGGTGGCTGGATCCTACATGGCTAAGCACAGTTCGAGCCCCAACATGGTGCCTTGCTGGTGTGTGTGTGAGCATGCCCCACATCCTGAAAGAAAGGAGGAGAAGGGATTGCAGTATGGCCATTTCCCCTCAGAGGTATTTTCTCTCTTCTTTCTTTCTCTCTCTCTGGTGAGTGTACATGCCCTGTAGCAAATAGTAAAAAACATGTAGAAGAAAAATACAGACATTTAAGTTCAGTATTTCTTAAATATTTTGCTCTAGGGTGTGTGTACTCAGGAAAGAGACTGCAGGCAGGGGGAGGGAAAAAGCATTCCCCAGGGAGAATGGCCACACCACAATCCCCTCTCTTCCAGGCTCCTCTCAGGAGTTGGGCACACATGGACATGCACAGACTGCTGCATCTGAGACTCAGACCGTGCCATCGGCCATGTGGGATATGGCTCTTTTAATCACCATACCACCATTGGCGCTAAGTTCAGTATTTTAAGTCTAGCCACATAGATTATGTTAGACCAGGCTTAGAGTGTTCATTTCTGTAAAATGATGACAATCCTCAGTGCTATTTGTGTCGTGCTTCATTTTCACATAGTGTGTAGGTGACCGGCGGTTAGGCCTTGATAGACTGAGACGCATTCTGTGAGCCGAGATTGGTGGAGCTCGTTTTAAATGAAGGTGCCGTGTGGCTCATTAGAAAAACCCAGGTGCCCAGAGGCTGAGCTGTGAGTACTGCCAGCGGTGGCCGTGGTAGCCTGTGTCTGGGAGTACTCCTCAGTCTGAACCACAGACATTGCTTTACTTCAGTGGGAGCCGACCACTCCTTCAAAAGCGAATTGCCTGTCAAAAAGAAGATTTATCTGGGGCAGAGGTAGAAGGAGATGGATTTCAGCTGAGGATGAGGAAGAACTTTTTAAAATCAGGACCTTCTCCTTACTAGAGTGGCTTGGGGAATTAGTATTAGAATTCCCAGATCTGTTATAAATACCCAGCCAGGAACCCTCCTACTCAAACACCATCATGGCTTGTTTGTATGGGGCGCAAGGAACCAGTGTTAACTAAGATGCCTTTTTTTTTTAGAATTATTTGATTTAACTTTACTTATTTATTTATTTATTTTTAATTTGACCAGAGAGGGACAGTGTGCAAGAGAGAGAGAGAGAGAGCGCGTGTGCGCAAGCCACCAGGTCCGGGACTTGAACCGTGGTCGGCCATGTGGGAGTCCGGTGCCCTTAACCACCACACCACCTGCCCGTCCCAACTAAGATGTCTTGAGTGTGTGCAATATGATATGAATATGTTCATTTCTTAGATCAGAAAAGCAAGATGTTCGGAGTTTCTACATAAGTGGCTGGGTTCGAATTCCAGCTGTATCGCAAGTCCTTGGACCCACAGCTTATAAAATATTGAGATAGCATTTTACGCGTTACACAATGTTTCCCTATGCCAGTTCTGCTACAGGAGGTTGTGAGTCCTGAGTCTGAAGGGCTGTCGCCCAGTATAGGTGGGATAGCAGCTTGTTGAGGATGATTCAGAGGAGATTCTGATGTTAGCCAGTTGTTGGAGGAGCTGGTATTTACAGTCTCTTCTGACTTTATGTCATCATCAGTCTTTTGTTCAAATTTGAAAAACTTAGAACGTTCTCTCTTAATTATTTTGATTAAACAATTATTTTATTGCAGTGAAGAAAATATTTGGAAGCTCTGTGAATACATCAAAAATCACGACCAGTATCCTTTGGAAGAGTGTTATGCTGTCTTCATATCTAACGAGAAGAAGATGGTAGGTTGGTGAGTGATTGCAGAAAGCAAACAGAAGATTTTGGGTGATGTTATAAACTAAATGTAGCATGGGTTTTGTACTGTTCTAAAATGTACTGTATAAAATATAGCATTGTAAAGTTTGTTTTTAAGTTATTTTTTCCTGATAGTTGAGTTAGAAGGATTTAGTGTAGGTAAGGAAGTATGTGATGGTATGTTTAGACATATTAAGTCACTCTTCTTTAGGTATTAATTTAGAGCTTCGTCTTTGCTTTTTAAAATTTGCTCGCGGGTACATCTCATGAGAGAGAGAGACAAAAAAGGGAAATAGAGCAAGCACCCCTCATGGGGAATGGTCATGCCACAGTCCTGTCTCCTTGTCTCCCTCCTTTGAGGATTTGAGCCTACACACACATGCCCTTAGTGTGCTTTTCAAACCACTGGATCTGGGACTTGAAACGCATAGTCGCCCATGTGGGACCCAGCTTCCTTAACACTTAAAAAAAATTATTTATTATTATTATTTAATTTGACCAGAGAGACAGACACACAGGGAGAAAGGGAATGTGAGAAAGCAAGCCACCAGGTCTGGGACTTGAACTGCAGTTGGCAACGTGGGAGTCCAGTGCCCCAGCCACCATGCCACCTGCCTGTCCTAGCTCCCTTAACTTTTAAAATTGCTTAGGTTAGAGTCACATACTCAGGTTTGAAATAGACTTTTGTCTCTGGAGTTTAAATAGAACCACAGTAAACTTCTATGGTATATTAGAAAAAGTAAGCTCCTTATGTTTTGTAAAGCATCATCTCATTTAATCCTAATGGAAGCCCAATGGAATTTCGCAAGGTTTGGACCACTTTCTTCATTTTGTAGATAAATAAAGACTCAGGGAGATCTCATGAATAACTAAGTGGGAAAGCAAGACGAGAACTTCCAGATCCCTTTCCACTCTTCAAAGAACATCATACAATTAACTTATGTAATAAGGATACTTTAATCACCTAGTGATTAAAGGAGCCAGAGTTCACGTGACTGACCATAGTTCAATTCTGGCCCTGGTGGCTTGAAAAACATGCTGGATCCATGAGTGTGCCTGCCCAAAAGTTTTGGAAAATGGAGAAAAAGGGATTGTAGTGTGACCATATCCCACTGGGGGACACTTTCTCTCTGTCTTTCTCTAGGAAGTGCACGTGCTCTCTGGCAATTAAAAAAAAAGTAAAGATATTCACAAGGATTTGACTTTTTACTCATTCATTCTTTCACCATGTTTATTAGTTGCTTAGAAACAATTTCATTTTTCATTTGTGTATTGCTATAAAGAATTTAGCAGAGGTTTAATTCAGGGTGTGGCTTATACAATGTATTGTACTTTGTAGATACCTATCTGGAAACAGCAGGCGAGACCTGGCAATGGACCTGTGATCTGGGTAAGAAAGGCAGTGCAGAGAGCCCCTGGTGTGGTGCTCCTTGTTATCCTGAGTGGTCTGTATGTTTTGGTAAAGCTGAATGACAAGCTGGTTTGTTCTAGATCTTTCAGGTGCATATTCCCACATGGCATACGGCTGCTGAGATGTTAATTGGCCTAAAGTAGAAGCGCTAAAGGCATATTTTCTTTTAACTTTTTATTTATTTATTTATTTTAGATTTTTGCCACAGGGTACATGTGCTCACTGGAGAAAGAGAGAGCTGAAAAGTGAGAAATAACCCTCCGAGGGGATAGCCATGCTGCAATCCTTTCTTCGCCATTCTTGGGGGATGCGTGCATGCTCCCGATGTGTTTTTCAAGCCCCTGGGTCTGGGACTCAAACTGTTGAGTCAGTCATGTGGGATCCAATGCCTTAACCACCATGCCATCTGCTGGCCCTTTCTTTTAATGTTTTACATCTATTTTTTATTTTTAAAAGTTTGCCAGAGGACACATGGGGTCGAGTAGAGAGATGAGAAAGTTCTCTCTATGGGGAGTGGTCACACCACAATCTCTTTTCTTCCGTCTTTCACGCCTCTCGGGATTTTAGACATTGCGTGCACATGTGCCTGTTGTATTTCTCAAGCCACTAGGTCTGGACTCTAAGCATACAGTCAGTCATGGGGGATCCAGCGGCCTTAACCCCCAGTCCATGGAGCCAGCCGAGGAATGATCTTAAATGACCAGTATGGTAGATATAGTTGTGACCTCTTAGATTCTTTTTTTTTTTTTTTTAATAATTATTTTATTTAATTTTATTTATTTTAATTTGACCAGAGGGACAGAATGAGATAGAAATAGAGATAGAGATAGATAGAGAGAAATAGAAAGCAAGCCACCAGGTCCAGGACTCAAACCATGGTCGGCCATGTGGGAGTCCAGTGCCCTTAACTACCACACTACCTGCTGGCCCTGTGACCTCTTAGATCCTTATCCATTTAGCAATAGAACAGACTTTAGCAACATTTCATCCAGATGCATATTAAAATTATCTGGAGAGAGGTTGACAGGTGACATGGTGGTTAAAGGCACTGGATTCCCACATGGCTGACCACGGTTTGAGTTCCAGACCTGGCAGCTTGGTTTCTCACTTTCCCTTTCTCTCTCTTTCTTTCTCTGTCTGGTCAAATTGAAAAATAATAACAACAAATGGAATTAAATAAATAAATCTTTAAAAATGTTATCTGGAGAATGTGTTAAAAATACAGATTTTAATTTAGTAGATTCAGAGAGGGGTTTACTATTTTAAAATTTTCTTTCTTTGTAAAATTTGGGGACCAGTAGTTAGCATAAAAGTTGCTGGGCTGGACTCCCATGTAGTCGACTGCGATTCGAGTCCTGGACCCAGTGGTTTAAACTCATGTGGGGCACGTGTGTGTGTACATGCCCAAGATCCTGAGAAGAAAATGGAGGAGAAGGGATTGCAATGTGGCCATCCCCCCGGGGGGGATTTCTCGCTTTCTGTCTCTCTGTCTGTCTCTATCTTTCTGGCAAGGGCATACACCCTGTAGCAAAAACCTTTCCCCCAAAAAATTTGCCTGAGGATGTGCATGCTCACCAGAGAGATGGAGGAGGGGGTGGGCAAGAGGGGAGAGTGAGAAAGCACCTCCCATGGGGAATGGTCACATCACAATCTCTTCTCCTTTCTCTGTCCTTTCAGGATCTGGGGTATGCACACTCACACATGCCCAGCATGTTTTTTAAGCTGCCAGGTTTGGGACTCACATGGCATAGTCAGCCAGGTGGGATCTAGCTGCTTTCATCGGCTAGATCCATGCCACAGGACTGACTCAGATTTAACAAACTCCCAGGTAAACATGACTAGCATGTAAAAAACATGAATCTATACCAAACCCTTCATTTTTCAGGTCAAGAAATAAATCCAGAAAGGCAAAGTGAGTAGTAGTTCAAGGTTATGTATGGGTCTACAGTAGAAAGGGTCTCATACCTGAGTCCTGTCTGGTACACATCTGTGTATCCCTTTAATCTGTCCCACTTAAGAATGGAATTGCTGGAACCTGCAGATGGCATAATGGTTACCTCACTGGACTCCCACATAGTGACTTTGGTTCAGGTCCTGGACCTGGCGGCTTAAAACTCATGCAGGGTGTATGGGTGTGTGCATGCCCAAAGTCCCAAGTGGAGAAGGGATTGCGGTATGGCCATCCTCCCGTGGAGTGATTTCTTACTTTCTGTCTCTCTCTCTGTCTCTCTAGTGAGCACATGTGCCCTATTGCAAAAATCTCTCAAAAAAAAAAAAAAAAGAATGCAATTGCTGGGACTAGCAGATGGCATAATGCATAATGGTTACATTGCTGGACTCCCATGTAGTTTACTGCAGTTCAAGTCCCAGACCAGTGTCTTAAAACTCATGCCAGATGTATGTGTGTACATCCCCAAGATCCCGAGAGGAGAATGGAGGAGAAGGGATTGTACTGTGGTCATCCTCCCAGGGGGTGATTTCTTGCTTTCTTTCTCTCTGGTGAGTGCACCCTATAACAAAAATCTCTCTCTAAAAAAAAAAAGAATGGAATTGCTTGTTAGTAAACATGAAGATAAAGTGAAAGAAGACCTCCATTAATGCTAACAATAACAAACTTCTAGTTTCTGGATCCTTAAAATTATTTTGGGCCCAGCATAGATGGCACAGCCCATAGTGCACTGAACTGCAGTGTGTGAAGCCACGTGGTTGGCCTAAAAGCACTTTGGGTTTTGGGTTTCCAACATCCTGAGGAGCTGGAGTGCTTGGCAGAGGGGATTGCTGTGTGATGAAACCCTGTCAGGGGTGTCTTGTCTCTTTCTAACTAGCACATGTGCACGTGTGCTAGTTATCTAAAGTAAGTCATTTCAGTTGGCTTCGTTCTCTCATTTTACATACATTATCAGGTGCCGTTCAGATGGCAGGCACAACGGTCTTATTTTCTTCACCCGCAGATAGTCTGCTGTTCTCACCATAAAGCCTAAACCCAGCAGGCTCTGGAGCCAGGTGGACTGTGTTTAAGTCCCAGTCCTCCCCTTGGTTGGCTGTGTGACCTAGACAAGCTGTCTCTTCAGTGTTCCCCTTTGACCGATTGGCCAGTGAGGCTGTGTGCCGTGAGATAACGTATTTAGGATAAGATATCTTCCGTGAGATAACACAGAGGAAGCGTTATCCTGCTGTCTGGGGTGTCTGAAGTGTTGGCCCTCACTGTTAGCAGTGCTGCATAAGCCTGTTGTCCACCGGCTCTCTGCCCTCTCCACTCAGCTGATTTTGAGTTGTGGTCTTGCTCCTGGTCTTAGGGAAACTGCAGGGAAAGGATCTGTGGTCATGGCCTCTTGACAGAACGTCTCCTGGCCCCTCAGGGTGGGGAATATTACAGGAAGCCTCCTCACACCCTCTGGCAGGTTTATCTTTGCCTCACCGCTGTCCTGTAGGACATGGGTCGTTCTCACTGAGTGGGTAGAGATACCAGATGCCAAGGAGCAGATCTAGGCAGCCAGGCCTTTCCTGGCCCTGCTGAATCTTTTCCTGGCAACCAGGCAAACACTGAGCCAGCTCAGACAATGAGGCTAATGCTCACAAATGCATTCCTTGCCCACATCCGTGCTGTGAGGGCAGTTCCAGGGGGAGGTCTGCTTTCCCTCTCAAGGCCATCAGCCATCTGGTATGTGGGATATGGACCTGAACTAACTAGAAGGCAGTAGATAGTCATCATTTATGCCTTTTTGCAAGTTATATCTTTGGGCAAGAGTCAACATAAATCTATGTTTCAATGAATCCCTCCTTGGCAGTTGGGTCCCTTCCTCTTCACTTCTTTATAGACTTTTAATTTTTTTGATTTTTAAATAATTATTCAATTTTATTTATGATTATCATTATTTTTAATTTACCTTAGGGCACGCACACTCACCAGAAGGGAGACAGAGAGAGAGACAGAGAAAGTGAGAAAGCAAGCCACCAGGTCCAAGACTCAAACCATGGTCTGCCATGTGGGAGTCCAGGGCCTTAACCACCACACCACCTGCTGGCCCCCTTGGTTGACTTTTGAAAAGTCTGAGCATGTACGTGGTAATTCTTCCAGTAACATGATGGGGCAGACATTCCAGTCATCACCATTTTATAGAAGTGTAAACTGAGGCGGGGCAGTGGACAGAATGAGATTCGAGCCAGGTGCCTACCTGCTCTCCGCCTCCTCTGTCCTCTCTCTGTCACGCTCTACTGCCGTCATTCACTCGGATGTCTCACGCACTTCTCTGGCAACTCCTTGAGGACAAGGACTTACCTTTCTGTCTACAGTTTTCAGCACAGTATATCACAAACAGCAGGGGGGAGATACTCCAAAAATTTGTAGTGTGAGTTAGAAGGCATTAGGAGAGAAACAGATTTTTGGATAAGGTAGATATTTGTTCTGTCAGGGAGTGGGAGAGGATCAGAAACATTTCTGGGGGTGAAAGGCTTTAAGCTGGAGCTGGTGTGCTGGAGAGAGGTGGAAAAGGTTGCTGCAGTGTGGAGGGAGGTAACGTGAGCTGCCCCGAGGAACTCCTAGCTCTTTTGTCATCAGGGGAGGAAGCATAAGGGAGTCCATGAATAAGTGTCCATTTCTGCCCTACTAAGACAGAGAGGGAGTGAAGGGTGTACTCAGGCTCTGATGGTACCACATTTCTTGTTTTCTTTTTTTAACTTTTTTAGTTTTCTTAAAGGGTGCATGTGCTTGAGAGAGAGAGAGAGAGAGAGGGAGAAAGAATATGAGAAAATGAGATATCACCCTCTGGTGTAATGGCCATGCCACAGTCCCTTCTCTTCTAGTCCTGTCTTGGGATTTGGGGCATGCATGCACACCTTCCTGGCATGATTTTTGAGTTGCTGGGTTCAGGACTCAAACCACACAGTTGGCCGTGTGGTATCCAGCCACCTTAACTCCATGCCACCTGCTGGCCTGATACCACATTTCTAGTCTCAGTAACCTTTCTTACGTCACAAGGTTTTTTCAGGCCTCAGAGGGAATAATGCTTGAGAAAGTGCTTTGTATATTCTAAAGTACTGTAGAAATGCAAGATGGTGGGGGCCAGCAGGTGGTGTGGAGGTTAGAGTGTCTGGATCCCACATGGCCAACTGAGCGGTTCGAATCCTGAACCTGGCAACCTGAAAAACATGCTAGGACTGTGTTCATGCATGCCCCAAATTGTAAGAGAATGAAGAAGGGTTTGCTGCATGACCGTTCCCTATCCCCCCAGGGGGCGTGATTTTTCACTTTCCATCTCTCTCTTTCCATTGAACTCAGACACTCTATAGCAAAATAAAAAAAATAAAAAAAAAAAAAAAAAAGGAAATGCGGGGACCAGCAGGTGGTGTGGTGGTTAAGGAGCTGGACATTCCCATTTAGCCAACGATGATTCAAGTCCTGGACCTGGTGGCTTGCTTTCTCACTTTCTCTCTCTCTCTCTCTCTGGTCAAAATAAAATAAATGAATAAATAAAATTAAAAGAAAAAGGAAATGCAAGATGGTATACTAATGTTACCAGATTGTGTTTTATTCCGTAGTGCTCTTCTCCATGAGATCATTTTTCTTTCTGAGGAATTCCAAGCACCAGACTGCATTCCTATCCCCGATAACCTCCCCGAAGGCCCTTTCAGTCCTTAGCCGGTGCTAGGCAGTGCCTCACATCTGTGAGTGAGCGTGAGAACCGACATCCACACTGCGATGGACTGCGCTTTGGGGAGAAAGATCTTTGACTTTCCTTAGTGGCGGATTCGAGCTTGGCTGACTTCTCTTAAAATATATATCTTTTACCAAAAAACTATGAAAATCTTTAAAAAAACATTGAAAAGAATGTAAAAAAGTAGAAGTATATCCCATTTTTAAAAAATTAGGTTTATCCCTAGGTATCTTATACATTTTGTGGCTATGGTAAAAGGGATTCCTTTTTTCAGCTCTGTATCATTCAATTTGTTGTTCATATATAGAAATACTACCGATTTTTGAATGTTAATCCTGTTTCCTGCCACATAACTGTATTCATTTATTACTTCAAGAAGTTTTTTCACAGAAATCTTTGGGTCTTCTAAGTATACCAACATGTCATCTGCGAATAAAGATTTTTTCCTTTTTTTTTTTTTTTTTTAGAGGTTTTTGCCATAGGGCGCGTGCGCTCGCCAGACAGACAGAGAGAGAGAAAGCGAGAAATCACCCCCCAGCGGGGGTGGTCATGCTGCAATCCCTTCTCCTCCATTCTCCTCTCGGGATCTTGGGCACACATGCACACGTGCCTGGCATGAGTTTTAAGCCACCGGGTCCGGGACGTGAACTGCGGTTGACTATGTGGGAGTCCAGCGACATAGCCATTATGCTAATTGCTGGTCCCCGAGATATTTTCTTTTTTTTTTTTTAAAGTGTTTTTTAAATTATTTTATTTTATTTTATTCATTCATTTATTTTAATTCAACCAGACACACACACACACACACACACACAAACACACACACACAGAAAGTGAGAAAGCAAGCTGCCAGGTCTGAGACTTGAACTGTAGTCAGCCACGTGAGAGTATCCAGCGTCTTAACCACCATGCCATCTACTGGTCCCTGAATAAAGATATTTTCAACTCTTAAAAAATATATTTTTTTTCCTCTTAGTTACAAAAGTAGTATATAACTAGGAATTGAAGTCTTCCTTCCCCTGTCTAGGCTGACCTCAGTCCCCTTTGTTAGTAGCTTGGTGGAGGATGTCCCTACAGCCTTTTTTTCTCAGCATTCACGTGTGTGCATCTATACTTCCGAATGCCACGTGTCCTTACATTCACAGCTTCGACAAAAGAATATGGATGGTGTCCAGATTCTCCAGTTTGCTTTTCCTCTCCATCTGTGTAACATGGACTTTTTTTTTTCTTCTTTACCAAATAAGTGCACCTATTTCTTTTTAGTGGCTGTATAACATTCCTTTATGTGACTGTATTATAGTTTATGAGAGAAAGCACCTTTCCCCTTTCATGCTTATTTCTAATTTTCATTACTATTACTTGTAACAGTGTTTTTGGAGGGGATTAAAAAAAAAAAAGGGGACCGGCCCAGCCAATGGTGTGGTGGTTAAGGCAGCTGGATTTCATATGGCCAGCTCTGCAGTTTCATGCCTCAGCAGCTTGAAAAACACACTAGGAGGGTCAGCAGGTGACATGGTGGTTAAGACGCTGGACTCTCCTCTGACTGATCATGATGGGGCTATCCCTCGGGAGCGGGGAGGGTGCTTTTTTACATTCTCTCTCTCTCTCTCTCTCTCTCTCTCTCTCTTTTGCAAGCACATGCACATGTTAGCAAATTTTTTTAAAAAGTTAAAATAATGGAAATGCTTATTATGAATAAAACTATGCATTGGTTTAAAACAATTTTTGCAGGAAGATAAACTTACAGGTTTTCCATGAACTTTATATATTTATTACCAGAGGTCATGTAAAAAAAAAGAGAAAGCACCTCCCAGTGGGCTGTAGTCATGTCACAATCCTTTTTTCTCCATTTTTCAATGCTGTTAGAGTTTTGGGAATGCATGTACATGTGCCCAGCTTGTTTTTAAGCTACTGAGGCTAAGGTTTGAACCATGATTGGCCACGTGGGATCTGGCTCCTTATACATAGGGCTAGGGCTTAACTGCTGAGCTGCAGGGTCAGCCCTCCTTGGACTTTTTGGAATCTCTTATATGCCTTTACATGCTCGTGGCCATTTCTCTGTAAGAAAATAGATTCTCAGAGGTAAAATTGCTGTGTCAAGGTTGTGTGTTTACTGTATATGAATATGATTATTTACATAATAGTTTCCCTGTCACTGGACGTTTAGTTTGTCTTCAGGATTTCATGTGTGTTTTATTTTATTTCGCTATTATAAGGAGGGCTATATTCTGATTTTTAAAAAAAATTTTTAGATTTTTGTCATAGGGCACATATGTGTACTTGAGAGAGACAGAGACAGAAAGAAAGTGAAAAATCACTCCCCGTTCCTAGTGGAGATGGCCATGCCTCAATTTCTTCTCCATTTTCTTGGGACTTGGTGCATGCATACACATGCACCCAGTGTAATTTTTAAGCTACTGGGTCCAGGACTCGAACCATGGTCAGCCATCTGGGAATCCAGTGCCTTAACCACACACCCGCTGCTGGCCCCAGTGCAGTATGTTTTTGGGATGATATATGTGCATTAACACTGTAACCTTGAATTCTGCATCCTACAGTAACTTGGTTAACTTCAGCAACTTTACTTCTAGGATTACCATGTTGTTTTGCTTCATGTGTCAAGTGGAGGCCAGAGCTTCATTTATGATCTTGACACCGTCTTGCCATTTCCCTGCCCCTTTGACACTTACGTTGAAGAAGCGTTTAAGTCTGAGGATGAAATTCATCCCCAGTTTAGGAGGTGAGGAAATTCAGGATGGACTTACTTTCTGAAGTAAGACTTGGATGGTTATGCAGAGGTGGATTTTTGTTTGCTTATTTGTTTTTGGCATCTGTTTTGTAAAGATCATTTGACTTGGATCACCAAGGAGATTCAAAGATTCTGAATGTTTAGAAAGCTTTAAAGGTCATCTATCATGTAAAATGTTGGCCATTTATATAAAAAAAAAAAAGATGTGTAATAGAGACCAGCCAATGGCGTGGTGGTTAAGGCGCTGGGTTCCCACATGGCTGACTACAGTTTGAGTCCTGGACCTGGTGGCTTTAAAATCATGCCAGGTGTTTGTGCATGTGTGCCTAAAATCCTGAGAGAAGAAGGGAGAAGAAGGGGTTGTGGCATGGCCATACCCCCTGGGAGGTGATTTCTCACTTTCCCTTTTTCTGTCTCTCTGTCTTTCTTCAGTGAGCACATGCACCCTATGGCAAAAGCCTAAAAAAAAAAAAAATTGTGTGACGAGATCTCAAATATTTTCTGTCAAGTGTTTTGAGGATTTCTATGAATAGTATGTTGCTTGGGTGTGGGGGTAGGGATGCTTCATGCTACCAAATCAAAGTGGCTGTGATGGGAGCACTAGAAAATCATGCCCTTTGCCCCAGGATGCAATGAAATAAATAGAGACAGCCAGCTCTATTTCAGTGCCTTGGTAGTTTTGTGTTTTCAGTTGATAATTTTCCATGACTATTTCAATATGTTATAAAGTGCTGTTATTCCTGTGTATTACTAATAGTACAAAGATGCATGAGTAACTTTGTGCATGTCACAGAAATGAATCCAAAAAACACGGAGTGAGAATTTGAAGTGACATTTCCCTAATAGAAGTGTATGTTGGTTTATCTGCAGGAAGTTTAGAGCAATCCGAGCAGATTTATATTTGAAGAACTTTGCTTCTGACCGGTCTCACATGAAAGACTCCAGTGGAAACTGGAGAGAACCTCCTCCACCATATCCCTGCATTGAAACTGGAGGTGAGCCAAGGACGTCTTCCCAGAGGGGTTTCTAGTTGATCCTTGTATAGATCAGCATTTCCCCTTAACCAACAACAGAAATTGGGTTGTTCTTCGGCTAAAGCTCCGAGTGGTAGGAAGAAGCAGAACTCGTTTGGTCTGTTACTAGATTGAGAAGTGGGTGTACAGAGAGCAGGACCGGAAGACACAGAGCTTGGGGGGGGCAGCAGGTGGTGCGGTGGTCAGGGTGCTGGGTTCCCACATGTCCACCTGCAGTTTGAGTCTCAGACCTGGTGGCTTGAGAATCACACCGGGCACACCTGCTTGTGTGTCCACAATCCCAGGAAGAGAAGAGAAGAAAAGGGATTGCGGTGTGGTCATTTTCCCTGCGGGAAGGGGCGTTTCATACATTCCTTCTTTCTGTCTCTCTCCTGTGAGTGCACATGCCCTATAAAAACACCTGAAAATAAATAAAGAAAGAAACTTTAAAAAAAAGGGGTGGGGGGCTTGTGGGAGAGAAGGATGTTAAGGAGCAGAACCATGTCACTTGGAAACTGCCAGATTATTGAATGTACCTACCCTGTGACACTGAGCACTGGAAGGGCTACATGCTTGTGTCATTTAACAGTGGAACTGCTAGTACTTCGTCACAGTAGGGTTTCATTTACGGTGACAGAAATCCCCAGTGCACCCTCATGTGTGAAATGTCATTTTACTGACTGTGTAGTAAAATCCGCATTGGAGGAGGTGCGAGCTTGCAGGTTTTACTGGACCACTCATCTCATTTATGTGCTTTCAGGCCTCAGTCCAAGTGACTATTTCCTGAGATCCAAGAAGACGAAGAGTTCTCCACCCTGTTACTGTTGTCTGGCATTCATACGAGTTTGAAATGTTATTTATGATTATAAGTAATTTACAGTCTTTCCTTGTATTGGTGAGGTCATCCCAACACGTGGCTAATCCAGCAGTGTGAAGGTGTTCTGGAAGCTATGTAGCATGCCAGAAAACAGTTCCGCAGGGAAGAAAGTAAAAAAATACATTTTACATATTCAAAGTGAGTCAACACTAAAGGAGGATTTAAACTTTGATTTTGGAGGCTCTCTGTGAAAAGTTACTATGATTTTATTTATTTATTGTTTAAGAGAGATTTTTTTTGCTATAGGGAGCATGTACTTGCCAGAGAGACAGAAAGCGAGAAATCATCCCCCTGCCCAGGGGGTATGGCTACACCTCAATCCCTTCTCCTCCATTGTTCTTTCGGGATTATGGGCAGGCATGCACACGTGTCTAGCGTGAGTTTCAAGCTACCAGGTCTGGGACTCACACCATGGTCACCTAGGTGGGAATACGGCAATGTAACCGTTACACCTTCACACTGCTGGATTAGTCACATGTTGGGATGACCTCACCAATACAAGGAAAGGCTGTAAATTACTATAATCATAAATAACATTTCAAACTCGTATGAATGCCAGACAACAGTAACAGGGTGGAGAATCCTTTGTCTTCTTGGATCTCAGGAAATAGTCACTTGGACTGAGGCCTGAAAGCACATAAATGAGATGAGTGGTCCAATAAAATGTGCAAGCTCGCACTTTCTTCAACGCGGATTTTATTACACAGTCAGTAAAATGACATTTCACACATGAGGATGCACTGGGGATTTTTGTCACCATAAATGAAACCCTACCGTGACAAGGTACTAACAAACCCCCTGTTAAATGACACAAGCATGTAGACCTGGTCTCAATAATTTTATTTTAAAATTATTATTTATTTATTTTTTAGTTTTATTGTAGACTGTGTGTGTTTTCTGGGAAGAAAGAGAGAGGAACGAGAGAGAGAGAAAGTGAGAAACCACCCCCAAGGGGGATGGCCATGCTGAAATCCCTTCTCTTTTATTTTCCTCTTACGATTTTTGGGCATGCACACATGCTCATATTCCTGGCATGATTTTCAAGATGTAAAGTCCAGGACTCAAACTGTGATCAGCTGGGTGAGAGTTCAACTCCTTAACCACCACGCCACCTGCTGGTCCCATTTGTCATGATTTTAAAACTTATATTGCAGTGATCCTCAACTGTTTTGGCACCAGGGACCAGTTTCCTGGTAATTTTTCTATGGAGCCAGGGGTAGGGTTTATGGTTTATGAGAGTGCACAACTGAGATTCCTCACATGCATAGTTTACAGTAGGGTTCAGGCTCCTAGGAGACTCTTACGCCATCACTGATGTGACAGGAGGTGCAGCTCAGGCTGTAATGCAAGCAATGGGGAGCGGCTGTAAATACTGATGATTCCCTCGATCACCCACCTCATCTTCTACTATGTAGTTCAGTTCCTAGTAAGCTATGGATTAGTGCTGTCCATGGCCTGAGGGTTGGGGACTCTCGTTATATTGGAACTGTTTGTTGGTATCCCAAACTGCATTTCAGCTTCAGCTTTAGAACTGAGAAAGCTCCCAGGTTAGGAGAGGGCTTCATGGGTCTGTCTTCTGGTCTTGGGCAACCTGAATACAAGACCAGGTGTGGGTGCAGTGCACCTTAAGCAGCTATCCATTCACTTTTACATGTGATCACTTACGAGAGGTTATCACTGGGGCCAGCAGATAATGACTATGTTGCTGGACTCCCACATAGCTGACTGGTTTGAAGCCCGGACCCGGTGGCTTGAAACTCACGCTGGGCACATGTGCACGTGTGCCCAAAATCCCTAGAGGAGAATGGAGGAGAAGGGATTGCAATGTGTCCATCCCCCCTTGGCGGGAGGGTGGGCGGTGATTTCTCTCTTTCTGTCTCTCTGTCTCTGTCACTCTGGTGAGCGCATGCATCCTATAGTAAAAATTATCTCTTTCTTAAAAAAAAAGAGAGGCTAGCACATAGTAGGCATTCAGTAAATGCTCCCTTATCAGGCCTGGTCTTACTGGGGCCATGGCTTTGGTTTTGATGATTACTACTTGTTAGATGCTATTTTGTGCCAAACTTTGGCCAACTCTTTTACATATTAGTTTTACTTAATGTTCACCACAACCCAATAAAGCACATTTTATTGTCATAATTTGATAGATGGATAAAGTGAAGTGCTTGAAGATTAAGCTCTTTGCTTGAGGGTGCACAGCTAGAAAGTGACAGTCAGTTTGCACACTGCTTGTGAGAGGTTCCTTATGAGAGAAGTCTTTTTGGTCTTGTATGTAGTTTGTTCTTCAGGGACTTGAAGTTGACCCTAAAGGGCATCTGCTCTCAAGTGTGGGGTAAACATATTGGCTTCTGATGATAATTTAATTGAATTAGAATATTCTCTCCTGTAGTAAATTCATTACTTCAAACAATGTATTTATTGAAGATGTGTATTAGAATTTAAGGTAAATGTGAATTATTTCTAGCTTAGTAGTATCTTATTTTTTTAAAAAGTTGAAAGAGAAAAAGGCCAGCAGGTGGCATGGTGGCTAAGGCACTGGATCCCATGTGGTCAACTCTCAGGTTCGAGTTCTGGACCTGGTGCTTTGAAAAATCAAACCAGGATCTTTGCTCTTCTGCCTCTTACCATGTGAGATTTTGGACTCAGAATGAATTATATCACTGGCTTTCTGATTCTCTAAGGGCACTTCCTATAGCAAACAACAACAATGAGTATGAAAGCAAAATGCAGTTACTTATGGGGAGAGCATCAAATATGCTTGAAAACTTATTTTTAACTCTACTACAATATGTGACTTTGTGGTATTACACAGAAAGGGTAAAACAGTTTAAAATGTGGAATCATTAAGACAGAAATCGTTTTATGTAATTCAGGAGCCACTAGAAACATCTTTGCCACTGGCGTGATGAATGACACATTTGACTGGAGACGAGTTACCCGATGACTATGTGACAGATCACTAACATACCCAAATTGCCAGCTTGGGAGAGCTCACGTCCAAAGCTGAAGACATAAAATTATTCAGTGGTGTAGATTCACAAAGAAAATTATTTTAAGCTGTTGTTTTAGAAAAATATGTGGAAATGTAATTCAAGTTTTCAGAAAGATAGAAACTAAAAGCACTGGATGAAGTAGAAAGAAGAAAGAGCAGGTTAAAGGAAAGATGAAAGAATTGCAATGACAGAGGAAAGTTACACATAACAAGAGACAATGATGAAGGAAAAACAAACTAAAGTGAAAGACTCCAGTGTGTATAAGATGGAGAGAGAGGTCAGAGTGAAAGACTCAAGAATATACCAGAATTTAGGAGGAGAAAAAAAAATCTAAGTATATAGTTTAAAAAAAGAAAAAAAAAAGAAAAATCACACCAGGTGTGTGTGCATACTTACTCAAAACCCTTAGAGGAGACTGGAGGGAAAGGGGTTGTGGCATGGCTATCCCCCTCGGACGGGGGTGATTTCTCACTTTCCCTCCTGCCCCCACTAACAAGCGTATGTACCTTGTAGCAAAAACTAAAAAATAAAGAAAAAGCAATTGAAGAGAACAAACTTTATTGCTATGTATTATTATTTCTTTGTTTGGTCCATAACGTTTGGCTGGATGCTGGGCTTTGTGAATTTTACACTGTTGGTTGCCGAACGCCAGGGTACTTTTAAAAATTGTGTTGGATTTTGTTCTGACATGCAGTTGAGTTTACTTGGAATGAGTTGGATCCTTTTGAGGCTACTTTTAAACCTTTTTGTTTGTTTTTGCCTTTGCTATAGGGCATGTACACTTACCAGAGAGAGAGAGAGAGAAAGTGAGAAAACACTCTCTAGGAGGGATCGCCATGCTGCACTCCTTTCTCCTGTCTCTTCTTGGGATTTTGGGCATGCACGTGCATGTACCCGGCATGATTTTCAAGTTGTCGATTCCGAGACCGGAACTGAGGAGGTGGCTCTGTGGGATCCCGCACCTTAACCTCCATGCCACCTGCTGGTCCAACTGCTGTCTGCTTGCATCATCATCTCTGTGCTGAGGTCTAGAACTGGGTCAGCACATACACTGCAGTGATCCTGGGGCCCCCTCCTGTTTCCGACCCTCATGTCCATCGGTCAGTGTCCATGTCCGAAACAGTTACTTCATATATTTAGTCCAGTTTCCTGGTAGTTTATGGCAGAAGTGCATTTCCTGTAACAGTTCTTGGGTGGGTAGAAGCATACTTTTAAAAGTGTTTTAATATGGAAAATTTAGATCATACACAAAACTAGGCAGAATAGTATATCAGACCTTCAACCCCTGTCAGCCCATGGCCAGTCAGTTCGGTTATGTCTACCACCCACCACCCACCCCCAGCCTGTATTGCTTTGAAGCAAACCTGAGATATGTCCTTTACCTCTAAATATTTCAGTATGTACCTCTAAAATAGAAGGATTTAAAGAAATACATGGCTATAATGATATTATTTTTTTAAACTTTATATTATTAATTTTTAAATTTTCTGTAGGGCATATGGGCTCACCAGAGAGAGAGAGAGACACAGAGAGAAAGAGATTGGAAAAGTGAGAAAGCAAGCCTCTAGGCCTGGGACTTGAACTGTAGTTGTCAGCCATGTGGTTAAGGAGTCCAGCACCTTAACCACCACTCCAGCTGCTGGCCCCAGCCATAATATATCATTAAATCTAAAAAATTAGCAGTTCTTTAAAATGATTATATATCTAGTCCGTGTTCAAATTTGTAGGTATCTCATAAAGTCAGAATCTTTTTTCATCGGTTTGTTTATTTGAACTGGAGTCTGAATAAAGCTTCCAAATTGTGCTTGCTTGATAGGTCTCCCTAGCTCTCTTTTTTTCAATTGTCAGAGGACATGTGTGCTTGCTAGAAACAGAGGGAGAGTGAAAAAGTGCCCTCTTGTGAGGGATGATCCCATTGTAGTCCCTTCTCCATTTCTCCATCCTGTGGGGATTTGGGGCATGCACGCACATGTGTTCAGTGTGTTTACTGCTGTGCTGGGGCCAGGAGTCAAACCATGGCTGGCCCTGTGGTCTGTGACTCCTGTAACCACTAGGCATGGACCCAGTGGATACCTGATATGTGTCTTTTAAAAATTTTAATTAAATTGTTGTTATTATTATTGTTATTATTTAATATGCTATAGGGCACATGCATTCACTAGAGAGAGAGAAAGAGGGAAATAGAGGGGAAGTGAGAGAGTAAGCTGCCAGGTCTGGGACTTGAACTGTAGTCGGCCATGTGAGAATCCAGTGCCTTAACCACCATACCACCTGCTGGTCCCTGATATGTGTCTTTTAAGAATCTTTTTTAATGTATATGTTCATTGTCCAACACTTTTTCTTGTTGTTGTTGTTGTTGTTGAAGAAAATGAACCTGGGAGAAATAGCCTGGCTTTTGATGAGTGTATTTCTATTGTATCCCTTGAATTTCATGTAAATTGGTTATTGAATCCTATGAATTGGCAGTTTGCTTACTCATGCATTTTTTCATTCAACTTTTTATTTTGAAATAATGTTAGACTTCTAGAATATTTGTAAAAGTAAGGCAGTTCCTGTATACCCTCCATTCAGATTCTGTTAATGTTAAGTCTTACACAACCATACTATGATGATCAAAACCAGGGAAGTGATACAATTGATACAAAAATACTGATATCATACTGTGATACAATGCTATTAACTTACAGATTTTATTGAAATTTCTCAAGTTTTACGCTAATTACTTTTTTTTGCAGTCCAGAATCTAATCCAGGGATGTTACATGTAGTTGTTACACCTCCTGAGTCTCTAATCTGTGACTATTCCGATTTTTCTCCCTTTTTAAAACAAAACAAAACAAAACAAAAACCTTGACACTTAAAAAAAATCTTTTTCTACAGGATTTCTGTGCTCACTGGAGAGAGAGAGGGAGGAAGAGAGAGGGAAAGTGAGAAAGCGCACCCTCCCCGGGGTTTGGGGGGTAGATGGCCTTGCCACGATCCCTTCTCCTTTGTTCTCCTCTTGAGATTTTGGGCACTTGTGCTCATGTACCCTGTGGGCCGCCATGTCAAGGGCTCGACTGGCCATGTAGGACCCAGCACCTTAACCACTGTGCCACTGGCCCTCTTTACACTGTGAAGACTGCTGGTTGGTTGCATTGTAGAATGTCCCTCAGGTTGGGTTTGTGTGAAGTTTTGTAAGGATTAGATGGAGGCAGTGCGATTGAGGAGGAATACCACAAAAGTGATCGAATCGTCATTCATTTGAGTAATTCTTCCTAGTCGGTCTTCTGTGCTGTTTTATTGCTGTTAAACCAAAACTGTATTTTCAGTGGGTATTTCTTTCATGTTTTCCCAGATTCTAAAATGAACCTGAATGATTTTATCAGTATGGATCCTGAGGTAGGATGGGGAGCTGTCTACACACTGTCTGAATTCACACATCGATTTGGCAGTCAAAACTACTGAACTTGACATCAAGATGTGGAACTGTGGAGAAATTCTAGTTTATGAACAAGAACAAGCTATCTTCTTTTAGGACAGAAATATGGTGCAGTTGGCTGGAATTATTTTATTATTATTATTTTTGCCAGAGGCTGTGCACACTCTCCAGAGAGAAGTAGGAGGAGAAAGCACCTCACAGTTGTATGTGGTGGTCACATCACAGTCCCTTCTCCTCTGTTTCTCCATCCTATTGAGATTTGGGGCATGCATACACATGGGTCTGGTGGTTTTCAAGCTGTTGAGCCTGGGATTTGAACCATGAGGTCAGCCATGTGGGGTCCAATTCCCTTAACCACCACACCATGGGGCTAGTCTGGAATTGTTTTACTCTTTTCAATCAAGTGGAAAGATTTTTTTTTTTTGGTCAGAGGATACATGCGTTTGCCAGAGAGAGAGAGAGAGGGCGAGAGAGAGAGAGAGAGAGCGCAAGCACCCTGCAGTGGGACATGGGCATGCTGCAAATTCTTCTCCTTCACCTTCATTTCTCCGTCCTGTTGAGATTTTGGACATGCACACATGCCTGGCATGTTTCTCAAGCTGCTGGCTCTAAGATTCAAACCATGTCGTCAACCATGTGGGATTTGATTGCCCTAACCGCCAGACCACAGAGCTGGCCCCCTAATTTTATTTTCTTTCAATGTGAAGTTGAAATTTGATCTTGTGTATAATTGCTGAAATATTCCTGTGGCTCATTTGCTAAAACGTGCCGACACACGCTAGTGATTGCTCTTGTTAAAGCAGGCGTGCAGACTCAGAGCCAGCTGCTTGTGTCTGTTGGGGTGATCTGTGTCTCCTGCTACACTGTCAGCCCCTCGAGGACAAGGCCATGGCTCATTGATCTGTCAGTCTCGACTGCCACACAGGTACCCATAAAATGTTTCTAGTGACTGCTATTGCCTAAGGAGGATACTGTTGTGAGCTGAATCAGCAGTAAGTAGTAGTCTTTCAGGACTGTGATGTTGGCAAAAAAGGTGGCAGCCCTCTCAGGCTGGAGTGTTAGGTTTTTTTTTTTTTTTTAAGAGGTTTTTGCTATAGGGCACGTGCGCTCGCCAGACAGACAGAGAGAGAGAAAGCGAGAAATCACCCCCCAGGGGGGATGGCCACACTGCAATCCCTTCTCCTCCATTCTCGTCTCAGGATCTTGGGCGCACGTACACACGCGCCCAGCATGAGTTTAAGCCACCGAATCGGAGACACGAACCGCGGTCGACTACGTAGGAGTCCAGCGACAGCTGTTAAACTAACTGCTGGTCCCAGGCTGGAGTGTTAGGTTGATTTTTATGTTTTTAAATTAAATTGATTTAAAGTTATTTTGGTTTTGATGGTTTTGTGTCAGTCTTGGTGGTCGGAAATAAATCATGTCTCATAGATGAGAACTGATTCTTTCTTTTTAACTTTTATTTTTATAAAGCCAAGATTACAGGTCTTTTTTTTCAACAGAGAACTTTATATTCTTTTGTCTGTTAAGTGTTTCTTCCCTCTGCTCCTCCCACCCACCCTCTACCACCCACTCTTTAAAATACATTAATCATCAGCCTTTTGATTAAGATCAAGTATAAAATATGTTTATCTTGTCTGCATTCTTGCGGTGTCTTGGAAGTTTGGTTCTAATCATATGATTCCAAATAAAAATTACTTGCTATTAAACTGGTGTATAGTACTTTTTTCTTCTTGTCTCTAGTTGTTCTCCAGAGAGACACAGACGGGGAGAAAGCACCCCCCAGTGGGGCGTGGTCACGGCCGCAGTCCCTTTTTCCTATATTCCTCTACACCGTCGCTACCTAGATGTGTACGTACATGTGCCCAGTGTGTTTTTCAAGCTGCCGAGGCTGGGATTCAAACCATGTCATCTAGCCTGTGGGATTTCACTCCCTTTACTGCCAGGCCTCGGGGCTGACCCAATATGGCATAGAATATTAGCTCGTATTCTTCTTTTCTTGGTTCTACTATAAAAATGAGCATTTTTTAAAGCATAGATATCTGAGTTTGTGTTTTTTTTTTTTTTTAAGAGACATTTTTGCTCTAAAAATCTAGGGCATGAGCACTCACTGGAGAGACAGAGAGAGAGAGACAGCAAGAAATCATCCCCTAGAGGGGATGGGCATGCCATATTACCTTCTCCTTCACTGTCCACTTGGGATTTTGGGCATGCACGCAAACATACCCGGTGTGAGTTTTAAGCTGCTGAGTCTGGGACTTGTACTGTGGTCAACTACGTGGGAGTCCAGCGACAACCATTATGCCATCTGCTGGTTGCTAAGCTTGTGTTCTTAGATGAGATTTTGTTTGTTTGTTTGTTTGTTTTAAGAGGTTTTTGCCTAGGGCCTGTGTGCTTGCCAGACAGAAAGAGAGACAGAGATAGTGAGAGGGAAAATGAGAATCATCCCTGAGGGGCGATAGCCATCCAGTCATCCCTTCTCCTCCATCCCCTCTCCTCTTGGGATCTTGGGCATGTGTGCACACATGCCAGGCTTGATTTTCAAGCCAGGACTCAAACTGTGGTCAGCCTTGTGGGAGTCCAGCGATGTAACAACTACGCCATCTGCTGGCCCCAGTGAATTTTGTATTTATTTATTTTCTGGACAGGTTTTTGCTATAGGGGTGTTTGCTTGCCAGAAAGACAGAGAGAGACAGAGAGACAGAAAGTGAGAAATCACCACCCAGGGGGGATGGCCATGCCGCAATTCCTTCTCTATTCTCCTCTTGGGATCTTGGGCACGCACGCACACGTACCTGGTGTGAGTTTAAGCCACCGGGTTTGGGACTTGAACTGCGGTGCTACATGGGAGTCCAGCAACATAGACATTACGCTAACTGCTGGTCCCAATTTTGTATTTATTAAGATATGTTAATTCAATATAAATCTTCTGCCTTGTTCTGTGGAGGTACAATTGCAATAGTCTCCTTAATAACCAGTCTAAGGAAATATCACTTATCCAATTGGTTCAATTGACCAAGAAGATTCTGGGAGAAAGTGAATGAATATTTGGTAAGAATTCAAACACAACCTCTCTGATTTTGTGATTCAGAGCTAAATATGTCTCTCTCTGTCTTTCTGGTGAGCACATGTACCCTATATAGCAAAAACAAACAAACAAACAAAAAAAACCCCAAAACTCAAAAATTATGCTGGGTGCATGTACGTGTGTGCCCCAGATCCCAGGAGGAGAATGGAGGGGAAGGGATGGGGCATGGCCATCCCCCCGGGGGGTGATTTCTCACTGTCCCTCTCTCTCTCTCTCTCTCTCTCTCTCAGCACACACACCCTATGGCAAAAGTCTCTAAAAAGAAGTGCAGAATCTGGACTTGTTAAGCAGTGGAGGACTTTAAAATTTTTTTTAAATTTAAGCCTAGCATTCCTAAAATGCCTTTTGGGGAACTCTTCTTTGTACATTCCTTGTAGATTGGTGGGTGCATTGGGATATGTACCCAGTCCAAGCAGGGCAGGTTTTACCCCAACCCATGGGAATGACCGGGTTTCGAATACGAACAGATCTGAGAGCAGACCGACAGAGCCCCGTAGGCTTCCCTGAGTCCCCGGATCTGTCTGTGCTTGAAGCCAGCGCCAATCTCCGAGCTTTACAGTTCTGTGAATCAGTAGATGCTTTTTTCCCTCACCTCGAGTGAATTGCATTTCTGTACATTTTAACCAACAAGATTTTCCTCAAAGTCGCCTCTCAGGCCTAGGAACTGTTACTTGTGTCCTTCCGTGCTCATTTTTCCCGTGAGGTCAGATTTCCTCCTCACGCAATGTGAGAACTGAGTAGTCTGTTCAAAAAGAGGATCTTGCAAGAAAATCAGTGGACTAAAAAAGAATGTGCACATTGACCCCGAAAACAAGGGAGAGAATCTGACGTTCAGTGGAGAGGGAAACACCCATGCAAATGTAAACTGGCTTCCCGGTCAGCAGAACCATCTATCCTTCATTGAGGAATTTGTAACTTTTAAGAAATTATTTATTTCTTTTTTTCTTTTTTTGGAGAGATTTTCGCTATAGGTCACGTGCGCTCGCCAGACAGACAGAGACAGAGAGACAGAAAGCGAGAAATCACCCCCCAGGGGGGATGGTCACGCCACAATCCCTTCTCCTCCATTCTCCTCTCGGGATCTTGGGCACACATGCACACGTGCCCGGCATGAGTTTTAAGCCACCGGGTCCAGGACGCGAACCGTGGTCAACTACGTGGGAATCCAGCGACATAGCCATTATGCTAACTGCTGGTTCCAAGAAATTATTTTTTTGAAGAGGTGTTGATCAGCAGTAGTAGTAAAGGCAACCTTTTTGTATACATGGTTTTTCTTGGTCTAACTTTTTTTTTCTTTCTTTAATTTGCTATAGGGCACATATACTCTCTGGGGAGAGAGAGAGAGAGAGAGAGCGCATTCCCCAGGGGATGATCATGCTGCAATCCCTTCTCTATTTCTCCTCAGGAATTTGGTCATGCGTGCACATGCACCCTGAACGTTTTTTAAGCTGCCAGGTCCTGGGCTCAAACCACACGGCTGGCCAGATGGGATCCAGGTTTTTTTTTCTTTTCTTTTTTTTGGAGAGGTTTTTGCTATAGGGTGTGTACATGCACTCTCTAGAAAGACAGACAAAAAGGGAGGAATCACCCCGTTCTTTCAGGATCTTGGGCACGCACGCACACGCACCCAGTGTGAGTTTAAGCCACTGGATCTGGGACTCGAACTGCGGTCAACTACATGGGAGTCCAGCAACATAGCCATTACACTGACTGCTGGTCCCAAGATCCAGGTTTATTATTTATTTTATTTTTTTAAGGTGGCCTAATTTTAGTTTTGGCAAGCATAATGTGAACAAAGCAAATTGGATCCAGGTTTCTTAACCACTAGGCCACCAGCTGGCCCCGGTTTAATTTTTTTTAGAAACCAGAGGGCACAAACATGTGCTCACCAGAAAGAGACAGGGAGAAGGCATTTCCCCAATGGGGAAGGATGCCACGGTTTCTTCTTCTTTTTTTATTCTGTCAGGATTTGGGGCACACCCACCTAGCATGTTCTCAAGCCACCGAGGCAGGGATTTGAACTGCTTCCTTAACCACTGTGCTATGGGGAGGGCCTCAAGTAATTAAGTCACAGAATTACTAATGAGTGTTGATTCAGCAGTTTTGCCTTTCT